TTTTAAGTCGCCTGCAGGAGAAAATCAATTCGCTTGAATGCGAGATCCCCACGGTGCCGCAGGACTCGCATCTGTGGCGCGGCAATGAGACCCATGAATTGCTGCTGCCCATTGTGGTGAGTGCACTTGGAGAAACTATTATTGAAATTCCTAAAATAAAATATTTTTAATTTAAAGCTAAACATTTTTCACTTAGCCTTCTTTTCTTTCTGTTATCTTATTTTGAAAGTCTAACTTACTTCTCCATCAAACTTACACAGTATTATTCTCAGTACATTCCGTTTAGGGATTTGCCATGCCCAATGTTATCAAAACAATTGAAGGCCTTATAAGTTCTTATCATTAGACAGACAAAAGAGCACACAGGAAGCAAAGAATGGAAGAAAAGACAGCTTAGTGAATGGACTGGTGGGGGGAACACACGACGTATGCGTGTTATTTGTAAGCGCGGTTAAGCAATTAGCTGGCGGTTAGGAGATGGGGAAAGGGTAGAGGAACATGGAGGCGGGATCTCGGAAAACTGGGGATCGACTGACTAACGGACTACATTTACATAATATGCCTGCGACGGCTAATTAGTATGGTGGAAGCTTAGTTTTTGGGCTCCGACGAACCCAAGGATTAAGCCAAGAAAGGAAGGGGATCCCCTAATGAAGCTGCTGAAGTTCTACCAAGCAAAAGCGAATAAAGAAAAGATTGATTAGGGATTGAGTTCACATAGAAATCATTTACGCGTGCTAGAAGGGGAAATGGGCAAGCTCAAGAAATTGGTAAAGGGAAAGGGAAAGCAACCCAAAAACATTCTTCAACTTTGTCAACCGACACCGACAGCCGACATTCGATATCCAATTTCCCTTCGAACAACAGAAACTGGTTAAAACTGTTTGCTCGGCTAATTGAAAACCTTTTAGAGCTGAGACAATTTTGCAACCGAAAGAAATCAATGATGGCAGGCAGCAGCAGCCACATAAATAAATAACAATCGCATTTGGAGTTAACATGGACAGGGGCAGTCGAATGGACAAGAAAAGGACAACGGCCACGGTAAAGGATTCTGTGAAAAACGAACCCTGCAAATTTAATCCTCCGATAAGTTGGCCAACAAAGGGAAATTAATTGATCGTCGTTTTATTTGGCCATTTCCGAGGCATCAGTATATATATGTAGGATGTGTGTATGTGATGGGGATTGAGGACTCAAAACAAGTTGACCGGAAAGATGAAGGTTTTCTAGTCCTAGTCCTCATGCAAAAAGGACAAGTCCTGCGGGTGACTTTAGAAAACAGTCCGGTTCGGAATTTTATGGTTAATATGTCAGGTGGATATGATAAACTTAAATCATGGATTGACTTGAGGAATGATTAATAAATTTTTAAATATTTAAAAGCGCATATAGTATCTTACAATTTTATATTTTGTTGATTAACTACAAAATGATCTGCATAAAAATATAATTAAGCCTAAATATATATTTGAATTAAAGTATTATTTAGTCACCTTTAGTTATTCATCTCAAAGTATTACTTAAATTTGAAACGCACTGTTTGCTTGAGCAAAGAAAAGGGTTATCCATTCTTTATTAAATCGCATTTGTTGTTAAATCACGAATAAACTAGACAAGGGACCCCAGCCGGAGCTCATCTGGCAATTTCTGGTCCGGGTCCCCGAACCCCGAGCCAGGTTCGCTCATATCCCTTTCATGTCTGTTTATATTGATGTAAATCAAGCCATTTGCCAGGCCAAATCACAGCTGCTGCTTCTGTTGCTGGCCCTTGGCAAATATTTAAATTCATTTGATGGGAAAATGTTCACCCTTTTCATCGGCCAGCCGTTATGCGAGTGTGTTTTGTAGTAGAAACCTTTGACTAACTGACTGAGGACCGAATGTTTAATTAACATCTGGCCAGGCTGTGTCTATTCAAACAGCTCTCTCTCTCTCTGTGTTTCCAACCGAAATGCCATTAAATTTGATGGCCATTTGAAGGATGCTTTCGCAGGATTTCGTTTCTTTTGTTAATAAGAAAAATGGGGGCGAAATTGATTTCCTGTTTACCTTTTGGTCAGCAAATTCCAAATGGCAGCTCGGCCGTGAATTTAATTACGAAGCACTGCAAACATTATGCAAACTCTGGTCCACCTGAAAGGAAGAAAAAACATTATAGTATACATTAAGCATTGGCATAAAGTGTACCTTGCATAAAATTAATGCCGACTTCTCTTGGCCACTTGGAGGTCCTTTTGGACATTGCCCAGGTCTTGGTGCACGGGAAAAAAAAGAAAACAATTAAGGAAAACAATTTTTGCATAAAAGGTGGAAACATTTCTTCAGTGCTTTTTTCTGTTTACTCTTCTGTGCAGAGGAGGAGGTCACTGAAAACATTTCTCAACTGAATTGTTTATTTGGCTGTTTGTTGTTTTGGGACTCATTTTGATGGAATTGTTTCTTTCGCTTTTCTCTCTTTCGTTTTAATTTTTTCTCTTTTTACTTTGGCAGGATTTTAAGTCTTTTAAGACCAGTTAAAGTTTTTTAGGTTTCAGCTTTTCTCCGAGAGCTTATATTAGCTTAGCTTAATTCCAAATGCACTCAATTAGCACTCTAAAAGATTAATAAATATACAGCTTAATAGTTAGGAATTTATTATTTCATTGAACTTTATTTAATATCTATATTTTGTTGTATATATGTTAAGCATTTCGTCATTTTAATTCTAAGATCGGGGTTACAAAATAACTAAATTGATGATTCATTTTTAGCCTTTGCAGGGTATTTAAATTTTAGTCAGAAGCTTGAAACTAAGTGAAATATCATTTTCGACCCTATAAATAATATATACTCTTGATAACAATTAACAGCCGAGTTGATCTAGACATGTCTGGCTGAAAACAAAATTTTCGAAATTTTCATCGTTAAAATTTGCAAAAATTGTCAAAAATCGTAATTTTTTTAAATTGAAAATTTAGTATGCAGATATATTAACATGATAAAAACAATCACATAATAGCTTTCCGAATTAAAGTTATGTCTTTTTGGCTTTGTTATGAATTTTTAAATTTAAATTTGTCATAAAAATGTTTATATAAAAATGAAAGGGTGTATACATTTCGACCTGCCGAAGTTAGTTACCTTCTTGTTTTAATTAAAAATCAATTAAATATGTTTTATTGCAAGGCTCGATTTAATTACCAATATTATCTTTTCGCTTATTAATATAATCACAAAAAAAAAAAAAAAAAAAAAAAAAAGAACTATATCCAACAAAGCCGCAATATTATTTGAAGCGCAAATTTTAAAGTATAATGAAAAATTCCATTCTATTTTAATGACCTATATGAATTCGCCTATATTTGTGGTTTTAATTTCAAAAATTGCTTGTTTCCAAATATCTCTTCCACCGCCAACGGACTGAAACTTAAACAACAAACAGAAATTTGCTAAATATGTACGTACAACAAATAAAAAAGGGAAATTTATGCCATTACCTCTTGCGGTGTTCATAAAAAAAGCCGACCACAAAACACGCATGTGACCCAAAAAACTTGGCCATTCCCAACGGGTCGTTCTTCCCTTTCTATATGTAAATATGCACGATTTCCTTTTTTCTCGTTCTTTCTGCCAAACTGACCAGCATACAATGTAGATTTTTATGTGCGTACAGACAGGCCATTAAAATGCCATAAATTTGAGCTCTGACAAATCCCCCCGACAGTACACAGAAAGCGGTATAAAAAAGGCGGGAGAGGCAAACTAAACCGCTTCAAATTGCGCAAAAATATGCTAAAATTGCAGGACATAGGAGAGCTCCTGGAAATGGGGCGCATAAAATGGCAGAGGGATAACCACAAAGTCGAGTTTCAGCTCGGCCTCATGTATTTTATTTGTATTCCGATTGCGACGTCCATAACGGTCGGCTTATGTCTGTGGCTTAGCCCAAATTAATAAAAATTTTGGCAACATCAAGTGGATCTGTGCATATGTTGTAAACTTGCTAATATCCACCCCCGAAAGGCAGCCCAAATGAACCTTTTAGCCTGGAAGTTTATTAGGTTCGGGATTCGTTGCCTCACTACTTATGTAAATTTGTTTCTGCCACAAAACTAAACCGGCCTTAAAAGGGGACCCCATCTAGATGGTAGACAATGTTGTAAAAGGGAAATTAGAAAACTTGCTAAATAATTTAGTGTGGCAAAAACCTTTTAGGCCTCTCAAACCTACGTTTGTGTTGAGTTTTCTAACTTATCTAACCCCGAAATCCTTAATACGTTCTTTCCCAGACCACGGAGCACTGTAAGCCGAATGAGAACTGCATACCGAATGTCCTCACCTGGCGAGGTGAGGCGGAGATCCAGTCTGGCGATATCCTGATTGTGGAAATCAATGATGCCATGCTTAATCCATCGCACGAGCCCAACAACACCAGCAGGTAAATGACAAAGAGCTTAAAATAAAACATTTGAGTAAGTCCACATTCTGGTTTAAAACAATTGCAACAAACTCTGAAACCGTATAACAATGCGTCAATATATTTTCTATCTCTTTTGATGTTAATGAAAATACCAACAAAGTTTGAAACAATTGATAATGCAATTGTGTAGCAGTTGTTCACAATTTTGTATTAAATGTGTGCAACTTTTTAAGCCCAGGAAAAGTTTTTATTGTAAATATATAAAACCGATTATCAGGATTTTTCTTCGATTTTTTGCTTACAAATTGCTTTTATTTATTATGTGGTTTTTATAAAAATATGTGAGTGCACTTGTTTAATATCTTAGTTTTCAAGTAACTAAATTTTATGTGCTTCGCAAATGTAATTCATTTTCAAATTACACCCAGTGTCTGCCATTGATCCATTGGCTAGGTAAACACAATCCCGATTTCCGATAGAGTCTTTGGGTGATGCAATTCCCATTTTAAAAAAGGAGCTCGTCTGCCTAAGGTGTCCGACATGTACTCTCCCTCATTAACCAAATCATTAATATCCAACCAGTATCCTTTTCCCTCCTGGAGTTTCCGCGTAATCAGAGACAGCTCCATCTCGTTATGAATGCTCGCCAGGTGACTACCCATTCCGATACAGATGTTGCCAGCATTATGCCAAGTTTCAGTATTATCCGATTCTATATAGAAAAATCTATAACCGATCTTCTCAAACTTCAAGGATTTTGTCGTCTGGTTTAGTGCCATCTTCTCTAGGATAATCTCAATTCTGTTAAGCTTTTGTAACAGGGTTTCTAGCTGCTTTTCCACTTTATCTTGTCCTATCCTTAAAATATGAAGTTGTCTTTCAATATTCTCCAGTTTTGCTTGACTTCCTGGGGACTCTGCCAGCAAATCAAAGAAACACCCAGCAATTGTTGCGTAGAACAAAAGAAACGCGCACTTTGTCATTCTGATTTACGCAGAGGAAAGTCTATTGTGCCACTGATTTCTTATGGTTCTGTGGGAGAAGTATTTATAGATGAAATTCTTATCAATTGCTACGGCCAATGAATCGAAAAATATATGTATAACTTCTGTCTGAGACCAGATTTGTTTGGAAACAGCAAGTGTGTTTTCTGATAAGCGAGAGTAATACATTTCTTAATGAATCATTAATTTGAATAATAAGTAATTAAAGCTAATTAACTATGGTAATTTTTGTAAAAATAATATTAATCGGGAAACTAAACTATAAGCTATATTATTTTCTAAACTTTTCAACCTTGTCTGGGTTTCTTTTAATTTAAAACAATGATGTATAGCGGCACGGTTAACTTAAAATCTGATAAAAAATCTGACTTTTTGTGAGATCTAAAATCGTTAAGAGTTCCAATTTATTGACAAACGCTTCGATTACAAAAATCCCCCAAAAGAACAGTTTCCCTTCTTGTCGGTCTCACTGATAGGAAAAGCGAGTGGGGAAAAAGCGTAGCTAACCGATACCTGTCGACTGGCGGTGATGTATGTAGTTGATCAAAGCAAGTGACTTGGCGACGCAGGACACTCACACACACACAGTCATTATGTGCCACCCATCAGCAGCATCATCAGCATCAGCAGCAGCAGCAGCATCCACATCAACACTTCCCGGCAGCCAGTGGCAGCCACTGCTGGTGCTGCCTCATCATTGAGCTCATCATGGAGCGACCCTTTCGCTGTGCAGCAGCCCCTTAACTTTGACAGCAGCCCCAGACACCTGAGCTTACTTGAAGCTAGGAAAAAGGGGGAAAATTGTGCACACCTCACTCTTCTGAAAAATAAAAATAAAATCACTCCCCTATTTTTACACCTAGTTGCAGGTTGAGTCCTTTCTTGTCCTTTTTTTTTATTTATTTATTTTCAGTTAAGCGCTTTAATGCGCAGTGAAACGTGTTTGTTGGGGGCTTATTATATAATAACGTCCATTAAGGACCTTTATTGATTTTTCTTCAGCACGTCTGACCGAAGAGCAGAGATATAGATAAACACAGGGAGAAAGAGATACAGAGTTGAGTTGGAGATGGAGGCTGAAATAGTTACTGGTCCCAGACACGTTCTACCATTATCATGCCCCTTTTACAGTTTATTAAATTGTTTTCTCCAACACTCCACACGCTCTGTCTAACTCTCCTTTTGGGTTGGTCTCTGTATTTCTTTTCGCAAAAATTTTTATTCGCCTTTGTTTATTTTATAATGCCGCACAAAAATCCCCATTACAAACTGTGCATATAAATGCGATAGCAGACAGTTTCTTTCTTTTTAACACACGGAAAATAATTTTAATAGCTGAATTTTGTTATAAATAAATAAATATTAATTATACTGTGTATTTGCTTTAAGGGTGTTTATCAAGTCAAGGGTCTAGTGTGCACTTATAAAATTTATTTTAAAACGTTAAGAAATGCAGCAGTATTTATATTATTTATATTTCTGAATTATTTCCGCCAAAAGTATATAAAATACCATATAAAACAAAAATTAAACTAACTTCAGAAAACGAAGGTTTTATACCCTTCCACCTTGTAATTTAAATATAAGATAGTACTGGAAATGGATCATAACTAAGCTTAAAATATTCCCATTCTTTAAAACAATATTTTTGTATAAGAAATTTTTCGGCAATTCAAAATCGATATGCTTGATGATGCTGATCAGATTTTTTATCAGATTTTAAGTTAACCGTGCCGCTATACATCATTGTTTTAAATTAAAAGAAACCCAGACAAGGTTGAAAAGTTTAGAAAATAATATAGCTTATAGTTTAGTTTCCCGATTAATATTATTTTTACAAAAATTACCATAGTTTATGGCGTCGAAAATGACTCCTTCACTAGATTGGAAGCTCCTAACTAATTTTAGAATACCCTTCAAAGGTATAAAAATTAACCCAAAGGCTTCCAACTCCTAAAATTTGTTCCCTGTGTAGTCCTTGTTGTTGACCATTAGTCATTGGGCAGGACGTACAAACACCACAGCTGGCTGACCCTTTTTGCCATGGCAATTATCACGTTTCTCTTGGTTTTTGCTATCATTTTTGCCCCAACATTTTTTACCCACTCTCTGGCCAGCCTCTGCACACACACATTTTTTGCTCATTTTAATTTAGCTCGGTGGCTGGTTCTTATCTTATCGCTTGATAGATGCCGCCGCCGAGCATCAAAAAAGTTTTTTGCCCCGAAAAAGAAGCGCAAGAAAAATTAAAATTCATTTGTCGAACTTTGGGGCCAGACATCAAACGCGACCGCGCTGGAAATTTTCCGGTCCACGCTATATATATTCTCATATATATATATATATATATATATATATATGTATATTCTTTCCTTATTTAGCCCGAGGGCCTCGCAACTTGAAATGCCTGGCATAAGTTTCGATTCCTGTAAGTTTCCCTGGGGGCAAAATAAGACCGCAAACAATCGAGTTAGTTGAGGAGTGAAAGTGAGGCGAAAAAGTGTAGCATACAATTGAGCGCAGGGCCGCAGAGGAAACTTCCCGCCAACTATGAAAATGAGATGTCAAAAAAGTTTTTATTATCGATTTAATATGTGTGTGTGTATATATGGGGGTGGGGTGTGTGTCTGTTGGCCAAGTTAACAAATGCAATAGCAACAAATAATAATGCTAGGACGAAGCCAAGCCAAGGCAAGTGGGTAGCAAATAGATTGCCAGAGCTCGAGGTAGTGAAAACTTTCCGGGCTCGCAGTTTTCTAACAAGTTTTTACTCGTTCTCTTTTTTTTTTGTAACATCCCTAAGTTGACTACGTGTTGTTTGAAAAATTGCAAACTTGGTTACTATATGAGGTGTCTTCCTTCTGTTTGTGTCTCTGTTTGTGTAGAAATCGTGAGGGCTTCTGCTAAGAACTACAGTGTTCTCCAAAATGAGTTTAAAAGAACAAAATAAGACTTCCACTTACCCATATTAAGTTTTGCTTCTCAATTTATCATAACTTAATTGATTTTTTTTGGTTTATTTAAATCTCTAGGCCACATTTTATACTGTGTTAATTTGCGGCAATTTAAACTCTATTAATAAATACCCATACGGTATAAGCTGCCACAAAAAGTAACCGCAACGAAGGCCAGGAAAAACATGGAGGGAGCTGGAGGATTTTCAGCCCGAGAAAGAAACCCTTTTTCCCGAGTCAGCCTCCCTGCCTCGACTAATTTCATTTCCGTTTTTGTGCTATTTAATTTCCGCTAGAGCAAGGCGAGCGAGAGAGCAACTGCTTATAAATAAATTTCAATTAATTAAGCATACAGATACAAACACACAAAGACAGTAGAAAACCAAGGAGAATACCGCCGACCGAGACCAAGTTTCTTTTGACGTCTTTGGTCATATTTATAACTTAAACAAGCAAAGAGAAGCCATTTAACTTGGCCTATCAGCCTCACATTACCCTAGACACAGTGAGAAAATTGTATTAGATAATTATTTTAAACTGGGGAAAATATAAAAGTTTATGGTTATTATGGTTACATTCTATATAGTTATAGTCTTTATGAAATAATTTAAGAAATTGTTATTAATTTACTCATAGAACATTTTCTCTCTGTCTCTATTTTATCCTTCGCTTTATTCTCACCTGGATGCTGGCACAATAAACGTCAACGAGCAGCGCTGTACATGCCACACAGGTGTATCAGGTAACTCGCTCCGGCCACGAGCATTGCGATGTTACCGAGGGCGTCCTGCTGGATATCACACCGTTGGTGGTCGATGGCAGGAAACTGGTTACCCTGTACGACAAGGACCTCACCGAGGGAGTTAACTTGCTAATTGGTGAGTAGACTCATCCTGGCACACTTACCGCTCCACGGCAGTACTAACTTTGCGGTGAAGGTGGATTTTTTTAAGCAGGCAAATTAGCTTACTTAAACTACTTTGAAGTGATGAAGAGATGCCTCAAATGATTCACTTTATTTTCTAAAAATTGCAAGTTGAAATTCAAGGTTTTAAAAGTATATATACTACAGGCAAATTATGGAAAAATGAAAGAAAGAATGAAGAAGGAATATAATATTTAATTAGTTGATAGTGTACAAAATAATTTTTCTATATTTATTGTTTCTTTAACTTATTCCATAATACATTATACTGTGAAAGTGTATGTTATAAGATACCAAAATGTATCCTTAGAAGCTATCAACACCTGCTGATGGAATTACCAATGAGTCTGTCCACCTTGCCAGGTGTTAGGGTATTCCATCTTCATCTTCCCAGAGGCATTGCATCTACTGTGTCCCCTTTGGGGAGTCATTTTTTGCCTTCCCTATTTGTGGTTCCCGTTCGGCCTATTAAATACCTTTTTTCGCTCCCTTGGCTGCCAGCCTTCGTGTATCCTTAATTAATACGAACCTCTATTTTATCCCCATCCTCCGCTCTGTGCCGCAGTGGTGTCCGAGCTGTGGGGAGCGCAATGTGTCCGCCTGAAGGTGACCACGAAAACCGACAACTGCGGCGAGAATGCCGATTGCTCCGGCAAGGGAGTCTGCTACTCGGACTCTGGGATGGAGGAGTACGAGTGCCAATGCTGCAGCGGATTTGCTGGACCACACTGCGAGGAGATAGATGCGTGCAACCCGAGTCCTTGCACCAACAACGGCATCTGCGTGGATCTATCGCAGGGCCACGAGGGCAACTCCTATCAGTGCCTGTGTCCGTACGGTAAGGTCATTAGCTTCCAGCCTCATTAGTAATGGCTGCCACCGATAATACGCCATTAATATGCCATCAAATTCCATCTGTATTCCTGCAGGATATGCGGGCAAGAACTGTCAATACGAGTCGGATCCCTGCAATCCCGCCGAGTGCATGAACGGTGGCAGCTGTGTGGGCAACTCAACGCACTTTCGGTGAGTCAAAGCCAAATAATAGAGGACACAAAAGCACAAAGAAAGAGCTAAAGGAATTAGACGGCGGAGGTTTACAGACACTCTGAGAAATATTAAAAATATTTAAGTATAAAATATAGATAAATTTAGCTTAGATATATTGAAGGAATTCAAGGAATTTAGGTGTTTGTTAATTAGTTTGGTTGGGAAAGAAATATTACAAATATTTAAGTATATCATAAACATTAGTTCAGTCTTGAATGAGTTCAATGAATTTAGGCGTTAGTTAATTAGTTTGTTTGGGAATGAGATTGAAGAGGTATGATTATCCTAAGTGGGTTTATAATAAATCATTGACAAAATATAAGTAAAAACTAATCGTAAATTTATGGAGCAAGTCTTAAACAACGCTTAATTTTCTTAATGCTAATTAAAAACTATTGTTGCAACTATTTAAACCTTGTTTAAGAAAAGTCTTTAAACCATTTCCCTTACTAAGCAAATACAGCATCCTTTGCTGAGTTTCTAGAATATAGGAATACAATATTTTTTCGAGTGCAAAGTACTCATTCAGTGGGGAGCCTCAGGGAGCAGGAGCTGTGATGTAGTAACAGTAGCAGTAGCAGCTTTCATTCAATTATCGTGACCATTGTTTTGCGGTTCTGTCTAGCCGTCGCCGTCTGTGTTTGCTCATAAATGTTGACTTTTGTCGCATGTTCAAAAATTCCCCATTTCTCCATTTCCCTCCTCTTTTATTTTTGCATTCTTTTTTCGCCATCTCCCTGCCGTATTAACCCCGCCGCTTGCAGCTGCGATTGTACGCCCGGCTTCACAGGACCTTTATGCCAGCACAGCCTGAATGAATGCGAGTCCTCGCCGTGTGTTCACGGCATCTGTGTGGACCAGGAGGATGGCTTCCGATGCTTCTGCCAGCCAGGTGAGTAAATGTGGCAACAGTTTCAGCCAAATAAACGCAAATTGCGAACGTTCTTTTGTTGACTCGCTGGCAAAATCGCTCCCATAATGCCAATATTTTGTGAGTTATCATCGTGGAAATTTCACACAATGATTGTTGGCTTTTGCATGTGTTCACGTCAGAAGGCCCTTCGCGGCGGCCGCGGCGCCGCCTCTGTCCACCGAGCCTCCAAAGCCTTGGCCGCTCTTGCACTCCCGCAAGTCGGCTCTTCGAGCACTGCTCATCGGGCTAGTCTAAGCGCTCCCGCACCCACTCTTCGATGTTCGCGAACGCCCGCTCCCGAATTCCCGAGCTTCGCTCGCTGCTAAGCGAGCTGAGGGACGGCTTGTTCGCGCTCCACTTCTCGGGCCCGCTCTCGCACTGTTAAGCGTAGCTTATCGGTCGGGAGCGCGGCCCTTACATTTAAGCTAGAGTTAGTCTTATGTATGCAGCGCAATAAAGCTGACCATTTGATTTGCCCACGACGCCCCCGTCTTTTACTTTTCACCTTCGTTTGCGACGTGGGAATTTCCATTGGGCTACATTTGACAAAACAGGATCTTCAGCGGCAGGATCGCCCCCCTACAAACATTGGTCCTTCGAGCCGGATCAGGATATCCTTCCGTCCCTTCACCAGCAGTTCCCGGTGATTTTTCCGCTGAGATAAGTATATGCTTGATTCCGTCTTGTTCTCGCTGCCGGTCTTAGACAGTGGGCCGAACATTTAATTTCGGTCGCACCGCTGCAAAATTTATTGTTTTTCGTTCGTGTCAACTCCCCGTCCGAGTTTTCCTGACACCACGGTAGTGAGAAATTCCACTTTTCTATTCGCCTCCGAACTTCGAAATTTTCCATCCGTGTCCGTTTTGTGTGCGCCGCCATCCTCCTCGCCGTCTCTTCGATTCCCCGTTGTTCATCCACTTGCCAACGGTCGAGGCCTATGTGCAGCCACATACACACACACGCATTCTAAACTTGTGCTAATATTTCCGTGCAAAAAAGTTCTCCGTGAACAGTGAAATTGTGTTTCAAAAAGAAAGGCATAATTAATATTGGCCAGCCGGTGTGCGCTTGTTTCGGGAATTCACCCTGATCGCCGAACAGTCTGCCGCTGTCACGATATTTTTTGTATGCTGTATCCATACACATTTTTCTGTTCGCACAATTCAATACAGTCCACTTCTCGACGCTCCACTGTGCCAATACAAACCCTACAGTTGTTCAAGAAACAGATTTCGTCAACCATGGATTTAAAATAATCCGAATTTTTGAAATCCTATTTTTTATTTATTTCAATTTACTATACATATATTGGGCAAGCTTCGCGCTATTCTGCGCTGAGCATTGATCTCTATAATTATTTACATACATACATACATATATATTGGGCAAGCTTCGCGCTATTCTGCGCTGAGCATCGATCTCCAATTACATACATACATATATACACACGCCCGCATAAGGGCATATCAAGTTATTATTGTAATTTTTTTCGTCTCCTCTTTGTGCCTAGAGCGTGTACAAGCACCTGCACTCATACTTTCCACAGCCGAACAGTGCCGACGAGATAAAATCCGCCACCTACAATTTTAAGGAAATTTCGTGAGCCAAGAATTTAAAATTATCCGAATTTTATTTATCCTATTTTCATTTAGATGAGAGAAATACAAATTTACACACATACCTCCATACATACAAGCTTCGCGCTATTCTGCGCTGAGCATCGATCTCCACAATCTAAATACATACATATAGTGGGCAAGCTTCGCACTATTCTGAGCTGAGCAGCAAAACCCAAACACAAACGAGTGTTTTTAATTGTCTTCGATTTAACCGCCGCAACGGCTGTGTTGTTGTTGCCCTTAAGTTCTTTGGGTCCCTCACTCATCACTGCTTTGCCGACGGCTTATCCCAGTGAGCTCTTCTCCGCGACCAAAAACGGATGTTTGTTTTTTAAATACTACCTTCCTAGCGTTTAAAAAAATTAAGCATCTGCGCTCATAGTTAAACATTCATTAACAGATCCAGAATTTGAATTTAATTAATTAATTTAAGTTAATTAATTTTTAATTCAATCTTTTCAACTGAGCCGCCGCAACGGTCGTGTTGTTCTTTCCTCTTGTTTCTTTTGAGTTCCGCACTGCTTTGCCGACGGCAGGACCCATTGAGTTGTCTCTCAAACAAAAGCCAAGGGTTTATTTCGACCATTTCGGATCCGTGATAAATAAAGTTGGCAACAATTACTTCCGACCAATACGTTCCTAAATCCGTATTTAATTTATTACGGGATCCATCCACATTTCGTTACGCAAAATGTAAACAAACCTCCATGTCCGAAATATATTGAATATTAAGAGAAAATACAAGGATTTCAATTTGCGAATTCACTACTATTCAATACTAGCCCGAACTATATATATATATATATATATATATATATATAGATATTCCAAAATACAAAAGAATTGTAATTTCAAATAAAAATTATTCCTGTACTTTAATTACGGCCGATTCCGTCAATCCGTTTGGGAAGATCCCAGTCCGCATTTCCGCGACCCTCCCCGATTAACTTTAAATCCACTGCTCGACCACAAAAATGGCTCAAACCGCCATCGACATTGCGTTGAGGAAGTTTATTGCCACGACAGACCATATGAGTCAATTCGCGGCAAATTTCCAACCTCTAGACGTCCCAGAAACCACCCAGCCCTCTCCGTCCATGTGTAAAGTGCGTCGCGACCAAATCCGGGTTTTGTGGGAAAAGGTGGAGAAGAGTTACGAGAGCTGCTCCGAACTGCTCTCCGTGTCTGACGACGGCGCGGACACTTCAACGGTGTTAGAAGCTAAGTATAGCTACTGCTACTCCGTTTATTCCAGGTGTGTGGCCCAGCTGCAGGAGATAATAGAAAGGGGCGCGGCCCAGTCAACTCTGGCTTCCAGCAGTGGCCACACACCCCCTTCCACCGGTTGTCGTTTACCACCGGTAGACACCGAGGTGTTTGCGGGCGACTATCTTCGTTGGCCCACGTTCAGAGACCTCTTCACGGCGGTTTATATTCACAACTCGCGTCTCACCCCGGTGGAGAAATTGTTCCACCTCCTATCCAAGACAACTGGCGAAGCGCACGCCATTGTTGCCAAAGCCCCGCTCACCAATGAGGGGTTCGTCGCAGCTTGGCAAAGCCTCACCGACCGCTTCGAGAACCGGCGGTTGTTGGTCAACAGCCAGTTGAAAATCCTCTTCAACATCCAGGCTGTCCCTCAAGAATCGGGAGTCGCGCTAAAAGACCTGCAAGGCACCATCCAAAGCTGCCTGACCGCCCTAGAGATGTCCTCCATTCAAGTTGAGGCTTGGGATAGTCTTTTGGTGTATATGGTTTCCTCAAAGCTTCCCGAAGTAACCCTTTCTCTGTGGGAACAATCCATCCACAACAAAGACAGAATTCCGACTTGGAAGGAGCTAGACGCGTTTCTGACCGAACGCCATCGTACGCTGGAGGCCATCGACGACGTTTCGCCTACCAACTCAAGGCATTTTCCGCCAGAGTTGTCGACTCCGAGGGCCCCAGCGCCCCGGCTCCATTCTTCCGACTTCAGAGTGACTCCAACACCCAGACCCAGAAGGTGTGACCTATGTTCCAGGGAAAACCATCCCCTGCGAAGATGTCCCCGTTTCCTTCAAATGACCGTAGTCGAGAGGTCAAATATCATCCGAAGAAAGCAACTCTGCTTGAATTGTTTGGCACGAGGCCATCAGCAGCGGGATTGCCCCAGTGCCCACTCCTGCCGTACATGCCGCAAACGGCATCACACCCTGCTGCATCCCAGAAGCTGTTCCTCCAGTGTTCAGATTGCTCCTGAACCTTCCAGCCCAGTAACCGCACCGATCCAAAGGATATCCGCGTTCTCCACGCGAATCACTTCTTCCAACGCCTTAAATTACTGGGTACCCTACGACATCAAGAGCAGACGTTCCCGAGGTATTTTATCCTACCCATGCCGAGTCTGCAGCGGAGTCCATCCGCTTCGAAAATGCCACAAGTTCCTTAGGCTTAGTGCTGAGAAGAGGCTCAGCGCGGTGTCCACCAACCGCTACTGTTCGAACTGTTTGGCCCACGAACATTCCCAGGGCAAGTGCCGCAGTGGTGACCGATGCAAGACGTGCAATCAGCTTCACCACACGCTCCTGCATATGCCTGGAAGTCCAGTTCCCGCACCCCGATCGCAGCATCGGATGACTTCGTGCTCCCCATTCGCGTTATTTACTGACCAATCTTCTAAATGATATACTTTTTTCCAGTCCGTTTCGAGAAGATGCCACCGCTTCGCACCACGCGAACGCTCTGATCAGAGGTCCAATCCAACCGATTCCGAGGTTGCCACCGAGCTTCATCCGCTTCCGACGCCGACGTTCACCTCTAGGATCCTGCGCCTCTCCCCGCCCCTCCTCAGCCACTCCACGGCCTCCGTCCACCGCTCCAGTCCGGTGCGCATAGGCAATTTCCGCCGCTAGCCAGGACCCCCTGCAGAACGCGGCAGTTATACAGGACGAATATGTTGCAACCCGAGTAGTTGCAAGGGGGGAGAATGTTCACGTCAGAAGGCCCTTCGCGGCGGCCGCGGCGCCGCCTCTGTCCACCGAGCCTCCAAAGCCTTGGCCGCTCTTGCACTCCCGCAAGTCGGCTCTTCGAGCACTGCTCATCGGGCTAGTCTAAGCGCTCCCGCACCCACTCTTCGATGTTCGCGAACGCCCGCTCCCGAATTCCCGAGCTTCGCTCGCTGCTAAGCGAGCTGAGGGACGGCTTGTTCGCGCTCCACTTCTCGGGCCCGCTCTCGCACTGTTAAGCGTAGCTTATCGGTCGGGAGCGCGGCCCTTACATTTAAGCTAGAGTTAGTCTTATGTATGCAGCGCAATAAAGCTGACCATTTGATTTGCCCACGACGCCCCCGTCTTTTACTTTTCACCTTCGTTTGCGACGTGGGAATTTCCATTGGGCTACATTTGACAAAACAGGATCTTCAGCGGCAGGATCGCCCCCCTACAAACAGCATGGATCTATTATATATTGAGTTTTTCGGTTTCATGGGAGAGGGAAATTTGTACTAAAATTGAAGCTGAATTCCGTGGAAACATTGTGGTTATTTAAATTTTAAACAAGAAAGGCAACTAACTTTAGAATACGAAGTTTAAATTATAGGATCGAATCGGAAAGAAAATAACAAAATATCAAATAATGCTCGATTTTAGATACTTGAGAGAAATGTATTTACAACACGATTAATTAAAAAAAAATTTTGGAAATTTGCCTCATTTTCATATCGTTTTTTACATAATCGAAAATGCATTAATGCATAATATTTTATCATTATTAAATTTACTCATAAATTGAAGTCTTAAAACCCTACTTGTTTCAACAAAAAATGCTGATTAAGAAATCGAATTTGAATCGATTTAATCTTCTGCTTGTATTACACTCAGCTCAATCAAATATTAATCCAAATCGATTTTTCATGTTTAGCACGTAGAAATACATTTTTATTGGCACACGAACCTGGTATCGGTAATTTTCCTACGAAATCCACGTACTTTAAGGCAATCAAATTGCGATTTTGAAATTGAATTGAAATCTGTGCAAATCAAAAATCTACATTGAAGCTCATAAATTATTTCATTGGCACAAACACAATTTGCATAAATCGCACTCAGTCACAATGAAAGTAAATGTACATAAAGGTCGCTGAGACAGAGACGAGGGCAATTTTTTTCTTTTGGGAGAAAGTCGAGACCGGGCGCTGTCTTCGGGCCAAAAGGAATTTCTCCATTGAAATTTCCATTTCATTTACTTTTGCACATTTACATTACCCGCAACCTGCTCACTCACCTCTTCCATCGGACTTCTGTCTCGCAGGATTCGCCGGCGAGCTGTGCAACTTCGAGTATAATGAATGCGAATCGAATCCGTGTCAGAATGGCGGCGAGTGCATCGATCACATTGGCAGCTACGAGTGTCGCTGCACGAAGGGCTACAGCGGCAACCGTTGCCAAATTAAGGTGAGTGAACACAATGGCCAAATAGATATAAAATAGTTGTCTTTTCTTTCTTTGGGATAAACCGAGGGAGGAAATACCTTAAAAAAGAAGCTATAAAAGGTTACAAGCAACACTGCTTTAAGTATTTAAAATATGCAAAGAAAACATTCAAGCCCTGAGGTGCGAAATCGCAACATTCAAGTCTTCAATGAATGACGAATCTCTAGAGAACCCATTAGTTGATTCACGATTCCCTGAGATAATCAATATTTTGTATTGAAAACAAATCCCGCGACAATTCCCCAGTGTGTAAAAGTCGAAGGACCCCAACCGTACGCCAGTTGTCTGCGGAACTTGAACGGTATTGATTTAATTTGCTCAGAGCAAGGACTCGCGCTGCCACACACACAGGCATAGGAAATCGGATTCCACATGTGTGTGTGGGTACGTGGTGTGGGGCGAGAGTATCCTTCAGATACGAATGCTGGGAAAATACATTTTTGAATACGTAATGAAGTTTCAGCGAAGCTCCTCCGGTCCACACTCCCCTATTTCTATCTCAACTCAGCCACAATATGCTTTGATTTGTGCCGATTTTTTTCATTTTCATTCGTTCTCTCCTCCCTGCTCTATAGGTTGATTTCTGCGCCAACAAGCCTTGCCCCGAAGGACACCGCTGTATTGATCATGGAAATGATTTCAGCTGCGAATGCCCCGGAGGTCGCAATGGACCGGATTGTAATCAAATGCCACGAACGGTAAGTCATGATTTATGCAGTTTCTGGGTCTCTGGTTTGAGTTCTCTGGCTCTGGCTTCGTCGGCTTTTCGGGCTAGACCTTGTTGTTTGGCAAAAATGCCAGCAAATAGCCAGAAATTGTTTGGCCTACTACTGTGCAGCGGCATAATTGTAGGCAATCTGGTTCGCTTCACAAACTGCTGCTGCACAATTTCATACACACAATTGCTTCTTTTTTATTGTGTGCGGTTTGCTGTGCATTTTTAAGCAGATTTACGACTCCAAAACTGGTTGGTTTAATGAATTGCTTTGTGTGGGGTTTCTTATTGAAATTGATATTCCATGTCAGAGTTCTCACTGTTTTATCCTGGCAAATCAGAAACAGAAAAATGTAATTGCATTTTGAGGTACAAGAAATACAGAGAAATAGGGAAATAATAATATGCTTTCCACTTAGATCAACTTTTAATGAAAAGTACCAAAGTCCCGCCTGCTGCCATTTAATATTCTGCCCCTGTTTAGCCTTGCAAATATCAATTTCCATTCAAGTCTCTTGCCAACTTGCTTCATAAATTGAGTTAACTTTACTTTGAGGACGAACTAACTCGAAAAGAATTTAATAAACGCCCAATGGACTTGACAATTTGTGGTGCTAAAATAAAACTTAACAAAATGTACATAAATTAAGCGTCAAAGCGCCATAATTAAAGCTTTGTGAAAATGATGGACACGCTGACTAACCGCGATGGCTCCAAGGACCAAAGATCCCCCGGAACACTGTCATTATGCTTTATGGGGGAGTGAGGAGGGTAGGGCGTGGCAGGACGAAACCACGGCTAGAATTTGCGGCTGCCAGCAGTAGTGGCTCGTGGCTCCTGTTGGGAAAGGCAGCGAAATTAATTACATTTTACATGCCAGGCACACACACACACAGAAATGGGAAGAATGGAGGTTGCTGCCGCTCGGTGATGCTCCTCCACGGTAATTGTTGGCTTGGATGCGGTTAGATGATACCGGCCTCCATGAGGGCAAAAGATATGGGAATATAAGAATGACTATAGAAGTTGTAGTTAGGGAAATTCTACTCCTAACCCAGTCAAGGATGTTTTAATAATAAAAGCATATGATTTTTGTTAGAGTAATCACTTATCCTCACTCAATCCACCACCAATGCATTGATAATTCTCAGTACTTTCAGCAATGCAATGTGAATCCCTGCACCCATGGCGGCACTTGTTGGTCCAGCGGCGATAGCTTCTATTGCGCCTGTCGTCCCGGTTACACCGGCACCATGTGCGAAGGTGAGTCCTTGGTCTCCTTGCGGTCCCCAAAAGTCATTAACTTGATTAGACCTGGCCTGGCTGCTGGAAAAAATATGTTTCCCTCGGTGGCTATCTAACTTTTTTCTTCCGCTTTTCCCCATCCGCTTTTCCCCGGGCTTTATCCGGCTGGGCGGTTTTTCTCTTTCCGGCAGATGAGTTTGTGGTGGAGACTGTCGTTAGCTCCAGCGAATTTATTGTGGACGATGCGAACGCTAGAAATTTTAATGACAAAACTTTCGGTTCATCGGTTGTGCTTAAGAGTCCCATTGAATTGCATAATGCATATTTTGCGGCCGGAGTTCTGGCAGCCGCCATTTTCATCGTTGCCGTTGTGGTAAGTACCCAGAATTCCCAGCATTTCCTCCCTCCTCCCTCTCGTGATTCCCCAAAACCCTGGGTGTATTTGGAGCACAAGGTCCCAGGAACATGACCATAGCATTCAGGGGAAATTGTACTTTGCGGTTATGCAAAGCGCGCACGCGAAATGCCATTGCATATTCATTTCGGTGTCGGGAAAGTGGTCGAGCAACTGAATTGAGCTGCAGAGCTGCAGAGCGGAGGCTTTAACCCAAAAGTTACCAATCGCCTGGACCAGTGGGCTTAAAGCAGATGCAAATTTATACAATTGGTAGCTGTTCTCCTTCACAATGTATGTGTTCAAGAGAGCCAAGTCTCTGGCAATTTATTGGAAGCCCAGAGCGATTCAGTTGACTGGATAAATTGATGCAGAACCTATAAAGTACTCCAATGGACAGGTTAATATCGAAGACTTCAGTTCGGGGGTTATTTATGGTAGGAAATTTTTAAGTTCTGGGAATTTATACTTATAATATGTTTAGATCTTTCTATAAAGACAGAACATCCTTTAAACCTTCAAATTTAAGCACTCACCCAATCCCTACCTTAATTTTCCAGCTCTCCTGAAGCTTTTACCTTTTACTTTTCCCCAAAATACAAGCCAATCCATAACCATTTGCTTAGCCTCCCCAACAAAAAATATCTCCCCATATTTCTCTTCGTTGCAGGTCACCATTTGTCACTGCAAGGTCAATCAGACGTATCGGAAATTCTCGACACGTTCCACCTCGTTTATACCCATCCTGGGATTCAGTCGTCGCCCCAAAATGCAGGGCAAACTCAATAAGCATTGGCTGAGTGGCAAGGGTGCCGCTTCCGCTTCCGCCGCAGCTGCTGCGAGTGGCACCTCGAATGTGGCACCAACGGTTGGACCGAGGAGCAATGGCGCTGCGCGGCATTTGCCAGGACAACCGCAAACGCAGACCACGCTGGGTGGCCAGCTGCAGGAGCGACCTTTTCAGCGGCATCTGGCCATGAACCTGGAGAACGATATGTATTACACGGTGGACTTTAGCGAGAATTCACAGCACTCGCCATTGATACAGTGAGACTTGGACGGGAATGGCGGATGGCTAGTCAAATTCACCCCAAACAGAGAGGAGTGAGGAGGGATTGGAATGGAATGCGGGGCGGGGTCCTTGGTCGTTGGGTGGGGGAATGTGTAATTATCTTTGATGCTCTACTCGTTGAATATTCCAAATATTGAACAGTATTCGATAATAATAAACTAAATGCCAGACATTTATGTGCAAGTGGGGAGGAACACTAACTTTACGATTATGATTCCGGCTAATGCAAGCACAAATATTTATGATTAATACATTTATGTGTATGTATCTCCGGCATAAATAGGCTTAGCACACTTGTTTAACCAGGTTTATTTTGGGCTAAGCACACACGAGCATACGGACACTGACACTGACACGGACACAGATAATGATAATGTTTTTGATTATAAAACACTCACGAGGGCAAAAGGCGCAGAATGAGATATAATCTAGAATTATGTAAATGTTTAATGGGCTCCGCATAAGTTTATCGTTTGAATTTTGTACATTTATTCGGGTCAAACAAGGCACTCTCTCTGCTACACTTCAGTTTATGTTTGCCATCTCATGTGGAATGCTGGAGCTGATAGGACTGGGCTCTCGGCTAATTGTTTGCCATAAAATCCCTCATAAATTTGTTATGCAAATGCCCGGTCCGGTTCGGTCTGTCCTTGTCCGAGTCCTAGTTCGAGAGAGAACTTTATGGATGGTCATTTGCATATGGACATTTCAAAGAGATTAAATGACTTTCTTGCCCGGCGGCAGAAAGGTTTCTCAATAAATTTAATTAGACAGAGTTCAGGGGGATCAGGCATGCTGGAACTAATTATATTTACTCCATGTCGAACTGAAACTAAAGTTGGCTAGCATTTTCACCACATTTTCATTTCCAAATGTTTGCAATTAGTTAAATAGCAATAAAACGAATCAGCCAAGAATTGTACTGTGATGTGTTTCTGGTCACGCTGCTGAAATCAATTTCCTCTCCAATGTGTCGCAAATATTGGGTTTATATCAACTAATTTCTGGAAATTCTGTTTGGTTTAGTTTTAATTAATTTTGCCATACTAATAAATTGGAGATTGGGGGGTCGGGGGACGGGTGTTTTAAATTGAATTTAGCCAGAGATTATTGTTGCCAACTGAGTTGCATCGGGGGGTGTGAGTGTGGGGTGTGGGGTGTGGTGTGTGGTGTGTGTTCGACCGCAGTCGAAAGTTGTTAGTGAAAAATAATTAGCATAAATTAAAATTGTAGCCACAAAAGTTAATATGTTTTTTGTGCATAAATAATATTTATTTTGAAATCATTTCCGTAAACGATTTCGTGCGGTGTGTGTATCCGTGTGCTGGCCACATTTAGCATATTGCTGTTGATATGCAAACAAGAATGCTGATCAAATGGCAAAGAGCTGCTCCCAATAAATGATTTAAATAAAAATTAAAATTAAAAATACAAAATACAAATACGAAAAAAAAAATCTCGAAAAGCGACATAAGTGAAATAAATTGAGACGAAAATTCTGATATTGCTTGATGCATTCATTTTTTGCATCAATAAATAATATTCGTGCAATTTGGAATGCAGAGAATGAGTTTGTAATTAAAATGCTATATTAAGTAATTAATAACGATAAACTGAGGCAAACCAAAACAAAACCCAAATGGAAAAACCAATAATATAAAATAATGAAAAGCCGTAGCCTAAGGAAAAACACGAAAACACAGACATAAAATAAAAGCAAAGCGAAAAATTACAGTAATGTAATGAAATTGAAATAAAACAAATGCGGAATAGCAAACATTTTTATTCATTGCGTCAAATGAGTAACCTATGGCAAAACACTTGACGTTTTGGGCAATTACAATTTAATTTTTAAGCCAATCAGCAAAATAAAGTGGAAAATCCAGCGAAACATGAAAGAGTTTGAATTCAATTTAAATGGGAAAACAATTATCAGCTAAAATCTTGTTTGCTTTTTTCTTGTTCTCAACAATTTGGTTTTATTCAGTTTCATTCCCGTTTTTGCATAATTTATACATAGACATATACATTTATATAACATAACACACACATGTACAACTAAACAATAGTTTTCATTTATCATTTTCCTTCTGTTCTGCTATTTTGTTCTCTTTTCTCGCTTCCCCTTAGTTGCTTTCGGTTTTGGTTTATTAATATCACTCATACGCCGTGTGTGGCTGGTCAGAGAATTGGACTGCCAGCCGCCCCTCAAGTGGCCTCAGATTTTTCCTCATCCTCCTGCTGTTGCGGCTGTGGCGGAATTTTCCCATTTCCATTCGATTGTGGTTGCTGCTGTTGCGGCTGCTGAGGCGACTCTGTCTTTTCCTCCCCCGAATTCACGGTGGTCTTTGAGGTGTGCAGCTCCGTCTCCTCAGGAATGACCTTGCGACCCTCCTGATCCTACGAATTTTAAATACAATAAATGAAAAGAAAAAGGGGGTGATGAGTAAGTATTTTTCTTGAAGAAACAGGTATGCTTTTGCCCATGCCAAATGCTAAATAAATGGGGTAAATACAATGACTAAAATATACAAAAATTAAACAATTGAACTTTGATTATGTCACTCAGAAAACATTTTACAAATTCAAAGCAAAAGTGAACAAGGGATTATATAATATAAAAATGTATTAAAAATTTGTTTAAACTTGATATGTTATTAACTTGAGAGATGTTTATTAATTTCTTGTCGGCTTTTAAAACATACAAATACAAATTCTATATAATTATTATACACTTTGTATTTAATTTTTTTCATGACAATTTAACAATATGCTTTCTATATTTATTTATTTTATTTTTTTTTGCATTTAAATAAATCAAAGTTCTACTGTATTTGCAACAGTTTACGCGAATACACACACACTTCCTTCCACTCGTTTAAATATTCCACCTTTGCGCACATGCAATTAGCAATTAAAAAGGTAAAACGCATGCAAAAACCCAATTCCATAACGAGCATACAAATTAACCAACCAATTCCATAAATAATAAAAATAAAAGCCAAAAAAAAGATATATACCAAGGTGAACGGAAAAAGCTACCCAAAGTGTGGCCGCAGTGTATAGATTGCTATTTACAATTTACTCACTCAAATTGTTATTAGTTTTTCCCTTAGCAATCCCCATGGATTTTCATGCAAATACGGGCAAGTATGTATAATCAACATGCATGCTAATTTGAGTTCGAACATGAAATTTAAGTGGCCGATAAATTATATTTAATGAAGTTGCAGTCACTGGGAACGATGGTTGCAAAAGGATTCTGTTCGTGTATTGGGGTTGTCTGTGAATCATGTTGGTTAATGAAGACTCAAAAGATTTCAGCTGTTCCTATTTAATTAATTGGATTTGAACGCTTTGCAATTTGCTGGCATTCACCACATTTCCATTTATATAATTCCTTCACTTAAATTCCAGTGAATATTGGTTTTATGCTCTTAGGAACTTCATTAAGTACATTTTTAATTCAATTTATTTTATTTAAAAAATGCTTCAAAATAATTATACAGAATTACAGAATGTAATTATCAAAATCATATTAAATTCCATGCTCTAAATACACTTTATAAATCTCTAAATCATTTTTAAAACATATTCCTTTTTCTTAAACACTCTCTATAATGTCTCCAAGGGAACCCCACTTTTATGGTCTTTAGCTTCGCTTTCCATTCGAATTTCAAATAATGTTTTCTGTTTTCCCATCTCAGATCTCAATGTGCTGCATTTCATAAGCATTCCGGTTGAGTTCGCCTCGCCTCCCAAATATGCACAAATAAACGAATAAACTGCAGTTTCCAGTTGCACCAAAAACCAGTTGGACTTGCCTTTTTTTAATACCCTTTCAGAGGGTATTATAATATAGTCCGGTTGAAAAATACATTTTTGAAAATTTTCCAATTTTTCCAAGAAAATATATGGGGTTACATTGTTAAAACTTAGTATGCAGATTTGTTAACCTAATAAAAATGAGCACAGAAAGGCTTTCCGCATTGAAATCAAATCGCTTTTGGCTTAGTTATGATATTTGAAAAACTTTGACTTAACCAATTAAGCAGCATATAAAAATATAGACATATGTTAGATTTACTTAATGGCTAATTTCAAGGGTATGAAAACTTCGGCTTCTCGAGTTTTGCTACGTTTCTTGTTTTCTCGTTTTTGTTTTTTAATATTTTCCATTTTCTTGTTTTGCGCGCTTTGTTGGTGGTGCATTGTCGAAAGGCATTTCCGCGTCATCAAACTTTTCGGATAATTCGCCATGCATCGAACGTAGTTTTCTCCTTGTTTGGCTTTTTATTAAAAAAGTGTTTTGTGGGGTACTGTGTGTTAAAAGGAGGGGATAGTGGTGCAAAAGGCACACCGTCCTTGCAGTTGAATGCACAAAAGTTTTCCAACAAACCCACACTCACAAGCAAGTGCGCATCTTAAGTGCCATGTGTGGTCGAGGGGTGTGGAAGGAAAAACTCAAAGGAAAAAAATAGAGAGCTACACTAAACAAAAAAATAATAAGAATACAAGCCCAAGACCTAATTAAAAGCATTTTACCTAGAATAAAATTTGTATACATATTTTTAAAGCGATTACAAAGTATGCAACCAGCTTTATAAGAAGTAATGGCAAGAAAAATCCCAGAAATAATTGGAAAATAATATTCAGATATTCAGACATAACTTCTTCTTTCCTTACATTAAGAATTTAAATTGTAAGACATACAGAGAAAATAAACCCTATTAAGGGAATAATTTGTGATAATCCTAAAAGGCCAAGAAAATCTTTATTTCATATAGAAATCATTGGTGTTACTTCTCCCAGCAGCTGTACCACTCTTATTTTGAACATTAAATAATGTGCATATTATTTTCTTATAAAAAATGTAAATACTTTATTTTTTTTAACGATTTCCCGTATTTAATTTATTTTCCTTTGTGTACTGAGAGAAAGAAGGAGCATGAATTTCTATAATGTTCATGCTCAGTTCATTTTGTGCTGCTTTTGTTTCCATTCCTTTGTTTGGCTTCGAGTTGTTCCTTCTATACATACTATATATATACAATTTTTTTTGTACTGCTCCTTGCCACGCCTCCCCCCGCCCCCGACACACACTTGCCCCTTGCCCGTATGTCCTTTGAAACCGCTTACAATGGGCATTACTTACGCGCAATTTCGCGTTCACTTTTTGTGCGTTATGTTGAAGAAGTTATTGGCCTCGATAGACGAGCTTATAGAGCGCGCTATAAAGTCGTTTTTGGCCAAAATCAACAATGACAAATGTTGCCAGCAGCATTGAATTACGTGGCATTCATTTTGCGATCATTCCCCATAAATATTTCTATTTTTTCGGGGGGGCCAGTCCATCCTCTCACACATCGATAAATCGCTTTCATGGCAAAGAAATAAAAATAATACTAGCACACTCACAAACAAGTAAGAGAAAAAGAAAAATCTATCGATGTGGATGAAAATAGGAGCATATCCTTACTATGGCTAGAAAGGAGCAGATAAAAGGGAAGGAGAGAACAAACAGGAAATCGTAGAAGGAAGTTGGAACATACAAATGTACATATGTGAATGTCAACATACACACAGTAAAGTACATTCAAACAAGAAAACACACACACACATAGACAGAGGGACGTGCCTTGGAAATGGTAAAATATTGAGAATACGATTGGGACTCTAGCCATTGTTGCAAGGAATAGTGGAACAAAAGTAGTGGAAATTGTTGGGAAAATGCATTAAAATCATGGAAAAATATTATATTATATTAAATAAATAAAAGTGTTTTGTTTTATTTTATTTTTTCTCTTTTGTTTTACTATTCATTGTTCAAGATTTAAATTGAAAATCGAATTGTCCTTCGTATACCATCAAGAAAATCAACAGTCGGAAATGACTCCTTCGCTCAAGCATTATATTCTATCTAATAAAACATAGCTTATTTTAAATCTTATATATCTTATTTATAAAATTTTTTTTATACAAACTTTTGAAGATTTTCTTTAAATATTTACCACTGCCATTGAATAGTTTAAAATCATTTGCCACATTCGAACAGACGCTGTTCTTTTGCTATGCCTTGGCTTGTTTGTTTATTCCCTGGCATTGTTGTTCTTTTCACCCACTACACCTACCCACGCCCACCTCACACACACACACACACACACTCCCCTGTAAAACCCCACCCACCGCATTTGCAAAAAACAAACATTGTTGCTTTTTGCAACAGCTGCCATTGTTATTCCTTTTTGTCAACTTGTATTAAGTTCAACAACAAATCATTTGGCGTAAAACGTAAACAAAATCAAAGCACACAACAATAGAAAAAGGGACATTTTTCAAGCTGCCCCACACATTTCCCCCCAAAAAAAAGGAAACACACGACTGAATACTAAACTTTAAGAGTGGACAACACAACAACATCAACATCAACAGCAATAAAAACAAGAAAGGAAGCTAACTTCGGCACGCCGAAGTTTATATACCCTTGCAGATAGAACTTCGATGACTTCCTGGATTCCTTCCATACAATATAAAATATATATATTAATGTTAAAAAAAAACAATGAAGTAATACCTGCTCTAATTTCATTCACATATTATATTTTCAGTTTTACATTCACAGATTTGCATTTTTGCTCCACATCTAACGATCGTTTGTATGGCACCTATGTGATATAGTCGTCCGATTTTCATAAAATTTGCAACAAAATTTAAGACTGATATAAAATGGCTATATTTCAAATTTAATGAAAGTCTGCTGAAAACTTAAAACGTTATAATTTTTAATTGTATTCATTTTTTGATCGTTCGTGATATAGTAGTCGGGTTTTTTTTATAACTTTACACAAAATTTAGATTAAAATTAAATGATATTTGATGAAAATCTGGTGAAAACTGAAGAAGTTATAATCTTTAATTTTATTAACTTCTTTTATTTCTTACAAAATGGCTATGTATCAAATTTGATGAAAATCTGTTGAAATCTGAAAATGTTATACTTTTTAATTGAATTAATTTCTCGATCGTTCCTATAGGAGCTATATGATATAGTCGTCCAATTTTGATAAAATTTTACACAAAATTGTAAAATAATATGAATTGGCTATATCTCAAATTTGATTAAATTCTGCTGAAAACTAAAAATGTTATCGCCACCGCGATTGTCAGTCTTCCGACCACAGTGGCGCCATTCTCATTCCTCTCAAATTTCTCGATCGTTCCTATGGGAGCTATATGATATATTAGTCCGATTTTCATAAAATTTTACACAAAATTGTAGAATAATATGAAATGGCTATATCTCAAATTTGATCACATTCTGTTGAAAACTAAAAATTTATAATTTTTGTTGTAAAAATTTTCCGATCATTCCTATGGCAGCTACATATATGATATAGTCGTCCGATCCGGCCCGTTCCGACATATATCCGAGTGAGAGTATATAGAAGACTAACTGCAAAGTTTCATTTAGATAGCATCAAAACTGAGAGACTAGTTTGCGTAGAAACGGACAGACGGACAGACGGACAGACGGACAGACGGACATGGCTAGATCGACTCGGCTGTTGGTCCTGATCAAGAATATATATACTTTATTTAGTCGGAGGTGCCTCCTTCACTGCGTTGCAAACTTCTGACTGAAATTATAATACCCTGCAAGGGTATAATAAAAATGCAATATGGTATGTGAGGTGATGTGAGCAACCAAGCTCAAATTGCTCGACGAGTGTGCAAAATTAAACTAAACTCAACTAAGCGTTCAGTACGAAGAGAGCTTGAAGCTTTTAGGGGGCTCAAAGGGGTAATGCTGGGTGGGGTAGGGGTGTTTTTATTTATTTTTTTGTTTTTGTGGGTTATGCACATGAAAACAAGTGATGCCCAAAAGTCAAATGGCGCAAGTGCGGACTTTAATTCAACGAAATAACTTAATGCCCGGATGGCTTGGCAAACTGCGACGCCCGAAACTCCTTTTCATCCTGCCAGTATTTTCGAACCAACACCCCCCACCCCTACCCCCTACACCGTCCAAAAAATAGGAAGAAAAAACGAAGAGAAACACAATAAAAGCTGCAGCAATGGGAACTGTACATGCCATTGCATTTTCCAGCAGCTGTACATACAAAGAAAAAGTTCAAATAAACTTGTTTGCAATCAACAAATTATACCAAAATAATATGAAACAAAATATAAGGAATACACCAGTATAAAATATATTTTTAAATACTTAAAATTAATTTTTTATTAATACTAGTTTTTAATTCTTTTTAAATTTGAATTACTTTCAAGAAAGAATTTATAAGTTGTGTTTTCTATAAAAAGCAATAGTTTAAGCTGTTAAAATCCCCTTTATATATATATTATTATTAGCATAAATTTTCCCTTAATAAATTATTAAATGCCTTTTGTATAATTTATGGTGTAAAATAATTTCTCACAGTGCACTGGTGCAATATCTTGGTTGATGACGCTATTGCCTCAGTTCGCTTTTGCCACAGCCATGGTCTCTGTTTATTCGCATTCAGTGCTTCATGCTTTCGGGCGCTTGCAGCCCAGGACAAGCAAAACCAAAAAGGACTCAGGACATGCCAAGCCATGCAGTCGCAGTTACATATGTTTGTGTGAGGAATTACCCTTTGCAGATGGGTCACAACGATTAGGTCAAAAGGTTTGTTAAGAGTCAAGAAATCATAAGAAGTAATTTATAATTAATAGAAGAAATAATAAGGCAAATAAAAGAGATCCAAGTAAAGTTGTATGTTAACACTTTAGTTTTATCTAAAGAGATTTTCTTGATACTTAAAAAAGGTACAAAAAACACTAAATCAAGTTACCAATAAATTAAAATATTTATTTGAATTTTATTTCATTTTATTATTTTATTCATTATTTTACTCTTCAGCAAAGGGCAATTCCTGTATTCGTTGTTTTTCATGCAGGTTCATGCCATTTTATTTTGACTATTTTTGGGATTTTTATTTCGTTTGTTTTTGTTTTTATTTTTTGTATGTGTTCTTGTACATTACCATTAACATGGAGCTGGGTATTACGGATAAATCCACAGCGGGTATTGAAGTTAACAAACCACTTGGATACTTTTTCATGCGGCTGGGAAAAAATGTTGATTCCACGCCCTGTTTGTATGCGAATGGCATTTTTGGCTATAGCATATATTATCCACATATATAGTAAGGGCAGATGCACTCACACTATTGCACAAACACACACGCACACACAAAAACACATATACACACCTCAAAAGTACGAATATCGAATAGAAAGCTTTCTGCTCTCGCTGGGTTTTCTGGCAAAATTTATTTTGCACAAAGCCAAGTTTCGGTTCTGGTTCGGGATTCTGCAGCTGGACGGTTGGACTGCAATTTGCAAGCGATACGCCTTACACTTGGGAAAAAATCTATCAAAAAAGGGATTGAATTAAAAACTTAATTACAAATATTTCCCCTTAAAATACAAAAGCCTTTTGGTAATATAAAAATCTTTTTGAGGAAATATAACTAAATTACAAGGCAATTATTGTACGAAAAGTCCCTAAGAATGCATTTAATTATTCAAACAAATTTATCAATGTTTTCTACATTCTATAAACAACTTGCTAATACTTTAAGCGTCAGATTTATAAAGTTTTGCTAATTGCATTAATTAAACTATAATCTTCAGCAGACACTATTTAAACACTTGAATAATATGTAGCAATTCAACAAGAATATAAATTTAATCTATAATATATATCTAAATATTTTATGATAACAGTAAATAACCAACAAATTTAATAAGTAATTATTTCTAGTGTACTAAAAAAACTTCATAATATTTACCAATTTAAATGCTTTCTAAATATTATAGTTAACTCTCTGGCAAACCCCATTTGGCAATAACAAATCTATTATAATTTAAATTAGTTTTTTCCCCAAGTGTACCAACTCTCTATGTGGCAGACACGCCTCCCCCTGACCGCCCACTTTTTTTTTACTAAAAAAACAAAATACTATAGTGAACTCTTGGGTTTCTCGGGTTCTTGGCATTGTTTTATTTTATTTCGTTGCTCGGCGATGTGTGGAGGCAAACTGTCAGTTTGGTCTGTTTCGAATCAGAATGTTTTCGCAAAAAGGCAAAAGACCAAATGGCAAGGCGAAACTTGGTCTTGTTCATAAATTCATTAATTTGTTGTTGTTTTCCCATCCCACACACCCGACTCGTTGGTGGCTGCAGCCACATTTGATTTATTGAATTACGGTTGCCTAGTTGCCATAAAAGCCTCGCTTCAAAGCATTGGAAATTAATTACGAAATTAACTTTGACAAACAGTAGAGAGTGCAGCAGGATAAGCGAGTGGGGATATGGGGGACACGATAATCAATTACTGGCCATATATCATCGAAAGTTTTTAATTAAAGGATATCTCGAATAAAAATGTCTGCTCACAATTTCTGATTCAAGTTGTTGTGTAAGTTGAAGTTATGAAATATTATAGGGAGCTAATGGAAATTTTATAAAGTTTTATATAGGAATTTTTAATTAAAGATATAGTTACTGGAAAGGGAGAATATATGTGTGTTCTTAAGCCTGAACATCAGCCAAATATTTAATATAATTAATAATAATAAACAAATATTCAAGTAAGTTATTGAAAAACTGTTTTTGAAAGTTTCTTAATGCTTAACAAATTTTTTAAATATTAATACTTTTTCTGCGTGTTTTTAAAGCCTTGAAATGTTTCTTCCTTTGATATTTCTTTAATCGCCTTTTGACAGCTCCTTTCCATTGCAATTCTTTAACTTTCGACTAGCTGTTGGTATTTTTCGACTGTTCCTCTTAGTTTGAGCTCTAAATTGGCAAAAACGGTGGCCGGCGGCGCATATGGTTGTCTTGAAAACAAAAACCAATAAACCCGGCTCCAATTTGATCTCAACAGGCAACAGGAATAGAGCAGCATCGGAAAAGCCAGAGAGAAATCGAATCCATTGGAGCGGCATCAAAAGAAACGACCGCTCGACAAAGGCAACCAAATGCCAAACACACAAAACAACCGCCTCTTCAGTGCCCAAACCCCATCTCTAACAAGGCACACTCCGAAAAATATCATACCAAAAATCTAAATAAATACAAAAAGAATTTATCAACTTAAAAGGAAGTCAAAATTCTCTATACAATTTTTTTTAAAGCTCCTGTGTATCCTTTTGATTTTTAAAGAACATTTCTTTGAGTGTATTGTAGAACGAGTAGTGCCCGAGGCGGATGCAGTTGGGCCCGGCATCCGGTTGTCAAGGCAAAACCAGAGACAGGATACAGCAGGGGACAAAGGACACGCGGCAGCAGCATGCTAAAAAGTTATTGTGGCAACAGATGTTGGGTATTTAAAAAACCAAACACGATGGCCAAGAGCGAGAGCAGCTAAAATGGCGCTAAGAAAAAGGGCAGAAATCAAAACAATTGTGAGCAATCAGCGAGATACAAACACACGCAAAACCATTCGCACTGGGGACAAGTGATATATAAAAGAAAAGGGGATTTCATTTTTGTATTTGGTATGGGCAAGGACTCACCTCCAGGACGACGCCCTCGAGGGCTGGCTGGGAAATGTTCTTCAGATTGCTGTGATTCAATTTTGGGGCACTGTCGGCCCGATTGCGACCCAGTGATTGATTCGACGTCTTGTTATCGGCCTTGCTCAGCATCGAATTGTTCGAGGACTTGTGATTAATCTCCAGCGCCGAGCGCAGGATATCAACTTTCGAGGCGCTGCCGATGTTGCCATGACGGGGCACACCCCGCAAGGATTCCACATTATAGCTGCTGCGACGCACCGACAGATGGTCATGGATATCGGCCTGGAGAAAAGAAAAAATTCAATTTAAAATTGTGACGTGAGAAGATCATTAACAAAATAATGGCAAAGATAAAGCGGTGACAGATGTCCATCGGATAAGTGAATCCGAAATTGGATACGTAAAGGATTAGCCAAGGGATCATTAATAAATCGAAATATCTGAAGGGGAAGTCTAAGAAACATTGATTGAGTTACTTTTAAAAGTTGATTTATATTAAGCTCTCTTCTTTAATAGCTGTAACATTTTATATATTGAAATAATATAATATATAATATAAATATTCAAGTATCTCGATTAAAACCCTTTCTCTCTCTCCATCTCATAACTCACCCGCGATCCCCTGGGCAGTGATGACAAACTGCCAATCTGATTGTACTTAATCATCAGACTGAGTCGCTCCAAGGACATGGAAGTGCCCTGCTCCTTCGTGGCTGGCTCTGTGAGCTTCTCCGTTTCGCCGGCCTCAACGGCCTCCACTTCCTCCTCGGATTCCTCCGTAGTGTGATCGAATTTGCGCAGCCAAATCAGATGAAGGAGCCCGTAGGCAATGCCACCGACCACAGCCAGTAGACCCATGTAGCGGAAGGCATCTCGAGTGCCAAACTGACCAATAAGGAGTCCTCCAGTAAAACTACCACTGCCTCGTCCTTAAATTGGAGACAAACCAAATGTGATTACATATAAGTAAAGTGCCTCATTAGGAGAGTACACAGGAAGAAAGGCAGCTACTTTGGTTTGCTGAAGCTTTAATTGGAGACTTTTTGAGAAGATTTTAAATGTATTCCCAGAGATATTCTCATGCTCTAAACTAAGTATAGTTATAGTTATGATAAAATAGATTTATTAACCATTATTTCGACTGCCTTGTTCCTGTGTAAGGAAGACTCCAACTACACACTTACCCAAACTAAAATGGGCCATGCCCAGGACACCAATCAGGGTGGCCAGCAAACTTTTTGGGGCCAATATCGAGCAGTAGGTCGCCGCTGCCACCCACATCAGATGGCAGGATAACGACTCCATGGCCTCGAAAGGAAAGCACCACCAGGCATTCCTTTAACAGGGAGGGCAACAAAAAAAAAAAATGGGTAATTCAATTTGGCATTGCATTAGGCCGGACATGTGACCAGCATTATTCGCACTCACTCGATGAAGGAGTAGCCCACCAGGCGGCCGGCATGAGAGAAGAACGCGATGATAATCAAATTAACGTGACCAAAGATCCGTGTGATTTTCTCTGCTCCGTAAAGGAAAGGAATACTGCTCACTGTGCCCACGGTAATGGTGATTCCTGGTCAATAAAAGGGGACATAAATAAAAGAAACATTAGGATAAATTACGAACTCGAAACAAAATAATACTTTTTAGATCAAAATCCTTCTTACTCACCCAGTAAATAATTGGGAGCTCCCAGCTCCTTGAGATACAGAAACAGGAAACTCTCAATGAAGCCCCAGAAATTGCCCAAGACAAACAGGAATATTATAAAGGCAATAACATGTGGCATTTTCAATAAATTCCATAGATCTCTGAACACATTATCCGCTGGCAATTTCTCGCCAAGTGGCATCATCAGCACCGACATTGTGGATATCACCAGCAGGACATCGTATGTATAAAAGGCCGCCGAGTAATCTGTATAGCCCAATCCCCGCGAGGAGTAATCAATCATAATGCCAGTTATCGGTGAAAATATAGCCATGCCAATGCTGGAGAACAAACGTTCGCGACCAAAATCGCCTCCATACTTCTCAATCATTGTCAGGGCAATGGGATCCATGATGGTGACTCCTGCCGACAGCATTGTAGTGGCCAAAAATCTGAAAGCAAATGAGAAAAGAAAATTTGGAATGAGATGATATTTTGGAAAGGAAAAACCCCACTCACCTCAGCAGGAAGTAAACCCAGAAAATTATCTCATCGGTCTCCTTGTAATCCGGTGGACATATCTCCGGTGCATTCATGGTAAAGGTGCACCTTTGGATCATACATTTGCCAGCTGTTGAACTCAAATTAGAGATATTTGTGCGTCTCACGAGGCCACCGCATCTCAGATCGAGTTCATCCAAATCAGTGAGATTGATATTGGCCCTGATCAGGGAGTCTTCACCGAATCTCTGCCGGATGTCGGTGACTGTCTCATTGGCATCCTGTTCAATTTCCATGCCCAGTTGCTCCGTGGGATCAGCGAGATCCGGATGCATTTGCAGCATAAAGTATGTTGCATCATTATTATCGGAATGAACCCAGCTGCTACTGCTATTGCTGTCTGTCACTGTTTTTAAATAAAATAAATATAAAATATAAATACAAAAAAATACTTGGAACTATAATTAAAATATCTAACACACTTTTAAATCCCTTTCAAAGACTTAATAGTATCTTAATTTATTCCAAACACTTCCTTCTCCATGTTAACAAATGTAACATATTTTTGCTTTTGAAATTTTACCCCCGCAGTGTTTTCACTAATCAGACTGGCAGGAAAATTGCTATGTCTCTTTTCCTGCACTTTTCTACACCACACCCCCCGAGGCGAGCTGGTTCACAGTCTAATTCTGATTCTGATTCTGAGTTGTGTCCTGTTTTGTCCTGAGCCCTGATGTCCTGGGCCGGCCATGCATGACCAATTTCCAATTGTGCCAAGTGTCAAGAGTACAGCCGAGTGTAATGCCATCATGTTTAGTTAGTTATGCACTTTTGTCTGCTGCTTTTTCCTACTGCTGTCGAGTTCCTTTTTCGGGAATTCCCACATTGTGGAAATTTTCTGGCCAGGACATTAGCAAACTTTTCGACTCTTCGGAGCTCTGTGCCAGTAAAGTACGGCAGAGGGAGAAGTTTGGCCAACATCTGATGTACACATGACTTATGATTAGGACATGATTTAGGTTTCGTGTTTTAGGGATTAGGGGAATGACTATGGCTATGCTTCTGGGAACAAATGGAGAAACTTTAGGTGTACTGGTTAGAAATGTGTTCAAGAATGATTGATTATTAAAGGGAAGTTTGATGGATGAAATATTAAATATTAAGGAAATTATGGGGCCTATCTTACAGGTTGATTATAAAAATTATTTTGTGATCTAACACATTTTACTCAAATTTCAAAAGAAATTAATTTTGTAATAAAGTTTTAATACAGAAAATAATTGTTTTGCAAGGATATCAAGTAATATATTCATCAAATTGTTGCTAAAATATATATGTTACAAGCCTACATTATTAATATTAAATTCATGAAAAATAGAACTTAGTAAAATTCCATCTTCTTTTCTAAGCCCAACTGTTTACTTAAGTTATTATCCCTAAAAAGGCACTCTCTTTTCTAGCTACATGGGAAATATTTTCCTTTTTACTCCCCAGCATATTTTTCCCAACTTGACGCCCACTTTTAATAATGTGGAATAAAAACGCCTTTGTGAAGTTTTTTCTCTGGGAATTGGAAAAAAGTTTCCCCGTAAACTTTGGCTCCACACAAAACGTCAGGCTTTAATGACAACCACCAGCCACCGCACCGCCACGCACTCGCTCAGGTTGAGTTATACTTTAGATATATATATACCTATACATATATTTTTTTTAGTTTCATAGAGAGAGTCCTGTCGGTCTTTGGCTTTTATGGTGCAAGTTGTTCTCGGCTTGTGCACCCCATCCCGTTCCTGGGAGCAGCTCACAAAAGACGGGAAAAACAAACTAATAAAAGTAAAACACACAAGGATGGAGGGGAAGAACACAGACATGGACACGGATACGGACATCGACACGGACATGGACACGGTCGAAGGATGTGGACACCTATAAATAGCTGGGGATAGGGGGACAGAAAGGACATGTTGGCAGGGTATTGCAAGTCGTCAACAAGTAAACCGAGTGAAGAACAAAGGCACAAACTAGAAGCAACTTGCAGTGGATGCACTTCAATAAATTATTTTAAGGAGGGATTTTTGACTCACTAAAAAGGTTTTATGAAATTAAATAGAAGAGATTATTGTTTTGTTGATTGAAAAAGAAAAGAATTTAAGTAGAATTATTTGTATAACCTTTAGGAGGAATACGTTTTTGTAATTAATTGATGTGAATTATTTTTCTAATATTAAGCAAAAAACATTTATCATTTATGGGTTACAAATGAAGTTAATAAATGAGTAAAAATCCAAATATTTAATATGTATAAATTAATATTTAAATGATAAATTTAATATTTAGAATGTAAACCCAACTTTCTAATTGTATTAATAATAAATAGAAAACCCTTATTAAATAGTTATGTTCTTTAAAATTCCCTGGCTTTCAAATGTTCTATCTTCATGGCAAGAATTAATATTACTTCCCGAATAAGGTAATAATATATAATAATTATTAAAATCTTATCTCGAATTTAATGGAAATTTAATCAAATATCTAATATTTCTCCAAGTGCATCCAACTATCGACGATAATAACGCCGTCTGTGGTCAGTCAGTTGGCGGTATAAGAGGGTCCCTGCTCGTGGAAGGGTTCATCACGTCACTTACAATTCAATCCCTGCATGGACATGGCGGACAGTTCAGCTGACGATGCCATCTCCTGACCCATCCCCGGGACATCCTTCAGCTGGGACATTGGCGGGAACATGGTCGATGGCATATTAAGTACTTCTTGGTATCTGCTCCTCGTTTGCGTTGCGAATAACGCTGGCAATGATGATGCCGGCGATGAGGTGGTCGATGTGGTCGGCGGTGCCTGCGATGAACTCGACTCGTCGGAGGGTCCCATTGTGGCCACCGCTCCTCCACTGACGGTGGTCGTGCTCGCTGTGGTCGTCGTTAGCTGGGACCTCTGGGTAGTGGTCGATGGACGGACATCGTATGCCGGAGTGTTCGTATAGAGTTGAGGATTAACTTGCTCCTGCATCAAACAATAGTCGACGCACTGATGCACGGCCAATTCCAGCTCCGGCTCCTCTGGACATTCTCGGCTTGGACATGGAGACCACCAGACCTGCAATACAAATAATAAAAAAAAGAAGCAGGAAGGAATAAAAATAAGACAATAGAATGTATTTCAGATTAGGAATGAGGTAAAGGATTTGTGCAAGCAAAAGGCAGGTTCCACAAAGGCTTTGCAGTCTTTACATCGATTGCTTGAGTCAACATGGAGCTTTAGTGATTCGATTTGGTTTCAAATTGGATTATTGAATGCCATAGATTATGTGAGGGAAATCAAAGTTGGCCCTGCACTCGGATGTTTTGGAAACATTGGTTGGGTAAGTAGGCTTTGACTCTTCGTTCGCTTAACTTCAAGCCTGATCTCAGATTCTCAACTCATTCTGTTCTCGGTTCTCAGCCAGGTTGCATGGTTGAAGTTCTATCAAAATTTGAGAAGTCAACTCCCAGTTCAGAGAAGGAAGTAGTGAGCCATCGCAATGTCCTCAATGCAGATTCGAAACTGGATTGATCAACTGCGCGATCTGGCCACTTCACCCGCCGCAGTCATTGTGATTTGTGGTGTAATGGCTTATGTGGCTTATACCAAGACCAGACGCCGCCATGTGACCTATGACGATGAGGATTACAAGATTGAAGGACACGAGAATCAACCTATTCCTTTGAAGGGACTAGAACTTACTCGAAAGCAGCTGGCTGAATATGATTGCAATCGGGACGATAAGACGTATCTGGTGGCCCTAGACGATGTGATTTATGATGTTTCGAGTGGCGCTAAAGACTTTGGACCTGGATGCAAGCATGCCCTGCTCCCGGGAACCGAAATATCCGGTTATGTGATGAAAGAATCGAAACAGAAGGGCCGTGATTATGAAACCGGTTTGAATGAATGGCGTATGATGCTGGAGGATATGTTCTATCCCGCTGGGAAGCTTATCAACGATGCCAACACAACAATGGACCCAATACCCAGGGAAATCGATGAAATCGAAGATTCAGATACAGTTTTGCTGGATGACGTTGAAGTGGGAATAGCAGGGGACGATACCAGCTCCGATGGTGACTCAATCGAGGAGGATTCCCCGGTCAAGGATAAAACCGATAAAACCCTTATTCCCGCTCCGTAAATACCTCTCACCAATACGTGCCCATTGCCCATTGAAATCCAGCCAAAAGTGGCACTTAACTCATCATAAGCCTCATATATGAGCTTAAGCCCTTGGCCCATAATAACACAAACATAAATAAATATCTCGCCGATTTTATGTATATCTGCATTAACACCAACAACACTGAGAAACCAACAAGATTGTCGCACTGCTGTCCACATTTTTTAAATACTTTTCATACATTTATATCTCCAATTGATGTACTATCACACTTAAATGGAAATATATAATTCAATGGGCAAAATGAAAGGTTCTCAAGTGTTTTTATACAAAATATTAACGAGTTTTAAAGCGTTTCAAATGCTTTCGAGCTGCTTATAATGCATAATTCCATTAATTTCTCTCCGTGATCTGCCTGCGGCTATATGCTCGTGTTTCTGCATATATCCGTTACCAATTTTAATGTGAATTCAATAAGGCTCATCCAAGGGTTGCATGGGAGCTGATTGGGGGGCGGGAGTATCGAGCGAATGCCTGCAATAATAAAATGGTAATTTCCGTTTCGACGTCGTCGATACCAAAATAAATTTATGCCAAACGGCAAACAGAAACGGGTCTCTATAATGGCATAAAATAGTAAACCGCAAGCAACAGGATATGGCCGCTGTACCAGGACGCAGGACATGGCTACATGGTTACATGCTCCAAGAATGGAGACGTCCGGCGAACGTGCGGACTGAACACAAATGTAGCCATAAGATGCGTTTCCAGGCCAGAAGATACATTAACCAAATGGGGTATATTGCAAACCAAAAGGTGTAATTGGAAATTTTAATCATTATTAGAAATAAAAATATATATATTGGGATATATAGATAATGGAAAATTACTACTACTACTACTATATTTTGTGATATATATTTTATATATTATATTGTAAATATATTTTAAGTAGAGAATATATATAAATCCTAAATAAATTCCAAGAAAAATGTAAAGTCTTATATTATGACTAGCCTACCAATGTAAATAAAAAATACGGCAGCACTAGGAAGGCAGCTAAATTAATGTTCAAATATTTATACATTACAAAAAATTGTTTCAACTAATTTTATAGAGTATTTTCTATTCGTTTTATGTCTGCCTGCCTTTGCCCTGTTTGCTGCAGCTATTTTAATGGTGTTATTGTATTTTATGGCGACATCATAAATACAAATTCAATATACGCCCGTGCCAAGTGCCGAATGTTGAGTGGAGTGCGGGTGGAGCCTGTAGTGCGTAGTATCTGTGAGATACATTCATGAAATGAAGGCAAAAGCTGAGGGCTTTTTTGGCCAAGGGCCAGGCACTACCATCACCATCAGGACGAGGACCAAGACCAGGACCAGGGAGTTCCCCAAAATAGCAGTTCCATTGCGTTTCATTACGACTAACGGCAATGGCTCGAGTGTGAGCACAAGAAAGATTTTAATGTGGGCACGAGTGTGTTGTGCGAGTGTGTGCCACTGTGTGTGGGTGTTTTAGTGCGGCTTAAGTGCTGGCAAAACGACACTAAGATAAATGTACGTGATACACATGCACAGCCACCGAAACACTTACACTCACACTCGCCAGAATTCTTTCAATATGTCGGAAAATAACTTCAAGGATAATGCCAATTTTTATGAAATAAACCAGAAGTATTTCAGTGATTTAATCACAATTTTATATCTGTTTCAACTTAAATCGTAAGTATTTTATTTCACATCAAAAAAAGATACAATTAAAGTAGAAGTCTTGGAAATTTCCAAAAACATAGAGATATTTGTTTATATTTCGGTGATATATTTGTATATTCTTTGTATAATTTATATATAATGCACACTTTACGTTTTAGAATATTTTAGAAATCTGTACATTTATTTATGCCTGAATTAAATAATTTTAAAATATGTGTAACATCTTTTAGTTGTGTCGAATAAATATTCATATAACCTGGCTTTGTTATTATTTTATATTTTATTTATTAACACAGAGCCTTTTTCAATCTCAGTTTTAAATTGAATTTTCTTGAACATGGGACACAAAATTATATTATTTTCAATAACCTACATTTGAATAAGTGCTTGTCTTGTTTTACCTTAACTGGATTTCTTTTTTGTTAGTGCTTGTAAACCTGATGTGCACTCGCATTTAAGTGGATTTTGTTTTCGTACATTTTTTTTTGCATTTCCGCCCCCAGGTTAGAGGGAAGTTTGTTGTAAAGCTGAAACAGGCGGGCCCCCGAATTTTCCCTTGGTCGCAGGAAAATCATGCAATGCAGTTGGTTTCGGTGAGCTGTTTCTAATGCGTTCCATTCGCTTGCTGGCTGTCAAGAACGCTTCGACTGCTGCTTCTGTCATTTTCTATTTTCCATTTTCCATTTACCATTTACCATTTACCAATGGAATTTGTTTAGCCTTAGCATCCTGCTCTCAATCGCAAGAGGGCCCTTTGCCAGAGTATCCCTGCCATGCAGATGCTTCACTCGGTCCATAATTCGATTTATGTAAAACTCTTGTAGTCCTTGCAGTCCTTCGACAGCTGCAATTTGCTGGCAATGCTCAAGAGCGGCTTCTGTCCAAATGCCATTGCCAAAAGGTGTGAGACTCGGTGGACTCCATAAAGAATGCAATTCCGAAGGGACTGAACTCAGCTCGAACACCTTGTACATACAAACGTACTACATATTTATAACCGAAATCTCTTCCTGGCAGCCATAAAGCATGTACTCAAATTTGTTATGCCACATCTGACCGGCTTAAAGGACACGGGACACGGGGCACAGGGCACCCAAAGGACACGCAATAACCCAAGTCAGAGCCAGAGTCGTTTGCATTGATATGATCATAAGCATAAAACGCACACACACATGTATATATAGATATCAATAAAAAGAAAATGCTAAGGGAAATCACAGAAATACTGGTACAGCAAATATATCCTTGAGTCTTCGCCAATCCTTCCCTCTCTCAGATATCGTGACAGTTATTTGCTTTATTTCGATGATTTTACATGACGCAAATTTATGCACAAATGCAGATAGAACCAGAATCAGACCTCAACCGACAGGAGCAAAAAAAATCAAAGAGAAATGGAAAACCTAAAGGATGCTTTCAGCTGCTGCACTCGCTGGGTGACAAAAACAGATGCACTTGAAAAATTCTTTATCCTTTGGAGGAAATTTGAAATTTAATATTGAAGGGATTTGTTTTTGTAGAGAAACTTATGTATATATTTGTTTCCTGTTTATAAGTACCTTTGCATTGTATTCTTATTTTAGTAAGAACCTTGAAATGGAATTAAGCAGTCATTTCCGACTCTATAAATTATATACAATCTTGATCACAATCAAAAATTGAATCGATCTAGCCATGTCCGGCAGAAAAAAACATTTTTCGAAATTTCTTTAAAATTTAATAAGGGGTTACACAATTGAATTACACAATTACACTAAAATTTATTATTTTAAACTTTAAAACTGAGTACACAGATTATCCCAATAAAACCTAGCACGGAAAAGTTCTTCGAATTGAAATGAATACTTTTTTGGCTTAGTTATGATCTTTACAAATCTTTGATTTAAGATTCCTTAGTAAGTTTAATAAATAATTATACTAAAAATAAAATAAAAAATAAAATATCATAGAATAGAATTCAATCTAAACTCTATTTTAGTTTGAATTTCCTACACAATTGAGTTACTTTACTCTAAGACTGCTACTCTGCTACACCCTGCGTATACGTAATATTTACCCATCCTTACAGTCTCTGTGTGTATGTGTATGTGTATTGACACTGTGTATGCATATCCTGTGCGATTGTGTGTGCGCCAGCATGTGGCAAGCTGCTGGGAGCCCAGAAATCGACAGAAAGTTTCTGAAACGCGAAACGTGCCACACGCATTAGATACACACGCACACAGATACTGCAGAACAGTGTGTTGCTGCTTCTGCTGCTGCTGCTTTTGGTGGTGTGTGCGTGATGGTGTGTTGCATGTGACAACATTATGTTGCCATTGCTGTTGTTGCTGTTGCTGCCATTGCCATCGTATAAATGCCGGCTTTTATGTAGTTTCCTCCTGCTCCACAACACACTCCTCTCTTCGCCGTGACTCTCCGCCAAATAGAGACATGCCGTGACTGAAGTGAGGCCATTGTGCGAAAACTGAAGGAAGGAGAGGACTTAAAGGCGGCTCCGAATGGCTAAGAGGATGCCGAAGATTTTTGGCAACTTGCACATAACAATTGCCATTGAAAATTTCCTGACTGGCGTTGATAAAGTTACAGCTGAAAATGTAGCCTTCCTCAAGCTTTATTCCTTAAACTCTATTTCGAAAAATGCTGATAAGAAATTCGATTTTTTAAAGAAAAATAATAAAAAGTTAAAGTTAATATACATATATAATATTTTAAGTCAGAAGCTTCTAAAGCCTATAACTAATTTATTTGAAACCAAAATGCAACTAATTAACCTTATCAAATTCATTCGTTTTCCTTGTGGCTGGAACATTTATAAATTCCACATTCGCATGGATTTAGTTTTAGTTACAAAAATGCATATAACAAAATGAAGGTCCTTCTGTTTCTATTCTTCTTGAGTGAGTGCACAAATCATGGATACTGGCAACTTATATTATTTATTTAACTCTATTTTCTATTTTATAAGCCGTGGTCAAAACAGAGGAATTTATAACAATGCGACTTAATGATATTGCTGAAAAATATCGTCACCAATCCTGGGGTAATGGTGAATTCTCCACTTGGGTCGAAAGAGTCTTTTACGCTGGTAGAAAACCAAAGGGTAATAAGGAAGAGAAAAAAAATGTACTACAAGGGTTCCTGCAATTCGATACCCAACGTCAATATTTGGAGGACAAAATAACCGATCGGATTAACGAAATCGAAAGCCTTCTTCCCAATAGACAGCTATCACAAATCTGTGTTACGGATTACCAAGCCCAGAAAAGTCGTCTCCAAAGAGCCTATAAGTTTTCGAATAGTGAAAAGCAGAGAATTATAGATGCAAACTCTAAACATTGTACTGCCCAAGATGCTCCGCCACCACCTCCACCTCCACCTCCACCTGTACAAGAGAAAAAAACTGAAGTCCACTACATCTATGAGAAAGCTAACACGTATAATTATTGGTATTGGTGGTGGTGGGGTTGATTCATATCAATTCAATCAAAAGTCGAATTTATGTTTCATTGCAGTTATGTATTTTATGCGATTTGTAACAAGAAAAGATTTAATAAAGTCTTAAAAGGTTTTTGCAATAAATCAATACGAGTATTTATTATAATTAATATAATGAAACATAAATCATAATTTGATTGTATGATTAGTTTAAACTGTCAAAGGTACTCGAGTATAAATAATTAATAAATATACAAGGTACTAGAATTTTACTAATTAATAATTTTTAGGTAACCGAATCTGATTAGTAACACGCTTATCAATTTTATTTGCTATACTTTCTGGTTGAATGTGAATAAATATATATCCGTATAGACTTAGTTTCAGTTACAAAAAATGCATTTAACAAAATGAAGGTTCTGCTGTTTCTATACTTCTTGGGTGAGTACATAAATCAATGATTCTGGCAACTAACATTATTTATTTAAATCTGTTTTCTATTTTATAAGCCGTGGTCAAAACAGAGGAATTTATAACAATGCGACTAAATGATATTGCTGAAAAATACCGTCACCAATCCTGGGGTAATGGTGAATTCTCCACTTGGGTCGAAAGAGTCTACTACGCTGGTAAAAACCAAAGGGTAATAAAGAAGAGAAAAAAAAGGTACTAGATGCGTTCATGCAATACGATACCCAACGTCAATATTTGGAGGACAAAATAACCGATCGGATAAACGAAATCGAAAGCCTTATTCCCAATAGACAGCTATCACAAGTCTGTGTTACGGATTACCAAGCCAGAAAAGTCGTCTCCAAAGAGCCTATAAGTTTTCGAATAGTGAAAAGCAGAGAATCATAGATGCAAACTCTAAACATTGTACTGCCCAAGATGCTCCGCCACCACCTCCACCTCCACCTCCACCTGCAGAAACAAAAGAAGTTGAAGTCCGATACGTCTATGAAAAAAGGCGAGTTTTGATTTTTGGTATTGGTTTTGGTGGGGTTAATTTATAATAATTCAATCAGAAATCGAATGCATGTTTCATTTCAGCTATGTTTTTTATGCGATTTGTAACAAGAAAAGGTTTAATAAAGTCTTAAAGGAATCAGCAATAAATCAATGTGCGTATTTATTAAATTAACAATTTGATAGTAGTTTTAGTTTAAGATGTCTAAGATACGTGAGTGATATTAAATTAATAAAAAATATACAAGGTACTTGAATGTTACTAATTAATAATTTTTGGTAACCGAGTCGGATTAGTAAACTTGCTTATCAAATTTATTTGCTATACTTTCTGGTTAAATTTGCATAAATATTAAATCCGTATAGATTTAGTTTCAGTCTCAAAATGAAGGTGTTTCTGCTAATATTGTGCTTGGGTGAGTACAAAAACCTATAATACTAACAAAAAATATTAATAAATTATATATTATTATAAGCCATGGTCAATACAGACGATGAACTACGGAGAGACTTAAGATATTGTCAATAAATACGGGCACTTAACCAAGGGTAACCCTGAATTCTTAAAATGGATTGAAAAACTCGAAAACATTCGTGAAAATGGTAGTTCTAAGAGAAAGCTCAAGCATTTCGCGATTTCCAAGAATATGATACAACCCGTTTACTATGGAAGAGAAATAACTGCCCGTTTAGATGAAATCGAAAGTTTACTTCCTGATAGACAACTATCGCAAGAGTGTGTTAACGATTATGAAGCCAAACGAACTGAGCTCTACAAAGCCAAGAAGCTGTCCAATGACGAAAGAAAAAAAAATTAGATGAAAACTCTGGGAATGTATTGTTAAAGATGCTTCAAAAGATGCTTCAAAAGATGCTTCAAAAGATCCTTCAAAAGATGCTTCGAAAAATGGTTCAAAAGATGCCTCAAAAATGCTTCGAAAGATGCTTCGAAAAATGCATCGAAAAATGCTACGAAAGATGCTTCGAAAGATAGTACAAAAGACCCAGATACATCCTCGACCAATACAACTAGTATATTTGGAAAAATTAAGAATATTGGTATTAAATCGGGAAATGGTCACAGTAGCGACAGTAGCTACAGAGCTATTTGGGTCATTTTTTAAAGATTTAATCTATATGTGTTTGAATAAAATCGTATTTACTGGAATTCCTGTCTCATATTAAAATTTTGGGTTTTCTATTAAGATTTTTCTTAGAATATTATTATAGCCTACTTTAAACGCAACTATAATAAAAGGCGAAAACACAGGTAACTCCATTAAAATCGACATAAAACTGAAGCTCTACTATTAATGTTTCATTAACTCAAAACTTGCAAGTAAATGAATTAATCGCATTACTGCAAGTAACTAAAACTGAACGGCATCCTTCGTTGGCACACTTAACTTGGCTCACAAATGCTAAAGTCATCAGTGGCAAAAAAAAGGGTGTTTTTGTGTCAGTTCAGGGCCAGGGGGGAAGGACATCAATGTGGATGAGGTGGCTGCATGGCAACGGCAACCATGAAGTAAGCGCATTAAAAACTGCACAAGAGCAACAGCTGCTTTCCCAGGCAGCAAGAGAAGAGATGCATCCTGGGGAAAATGAGAATATGGGGCGGAGGGAGATGGCTGGGTGGTGAATTGGGAGTTTGGCAAACCGCAGCCACATCATTTTTAGCTCTTAACTAAACAAGCGTCTCAAGATATTTGCACCACGCACCTCAACCACACTTCCCCCTTAAGCAGATTACAGCCTTCGACAAACATTCAACCAGATTGCATTCAACTAGGAGAGCTTTAATCGATTGAAGGTGGCAGTTTCATTTTACTGGAAAGTATACACAGCGGAAAATTAGCAGTAAAGTCGGGTTAAGTTGTTGAAAAATATCTTCGAAAAACGCAGGTTTTAATAAAAGAAAAATAAAAGCAATTAAAGCGATTTTTTTAAAAGGTTTGTGATAAGTTCTTAAATTTATTTTCTTGTGTAAAACTTACCTCAATGTCGCCGCTGTCTGCATGTCTCAGTACAAATGCCGAAGGCACCACACCCGGAATCTCCTGTTGCGGTATAAAGAGCAGCGAGTGATGGAAAATCGCATTCAGCAGTAGACTCATCACAACGACCGGTTTGTATTTGCCAAATTTGTCAACGAGGAAACCTACAAAACCAAAAAAAAAAATAAATACAATAAAATAAGATAAACGGAATCTGTGGAAAATGTAAGCAAAATTGCAGCAAGATTTTATGACAGACCTCAAGGATGTCTATATATTTGGCAGAGGGTTTTGAATCACATCTTAAATAAAATTAATAAAGGATTTTCTAAAAATCTTGTGTATTTTTAGGGTGTTTATTATATTTTTTAAAGACTTTAAGTTGAGTTATGGTTGCCTTAAAAATATCTGCAAAGACATATCTGGTATGGTAAATAAGTTTATCAACTAATTTAAGGCT